GGAAAGATTTGCAATTAGAAGGGGAAAATGATGGAAGAACATTTTACATATTGAAGTATGGGGAAGTCATTCTGGCTTATATATGATTTAATGTGAACTTTAGGCCAACCAAAACAGCCTGTCTGTGGCCTATTAAACATACACTGTACAACTGCTTTAACCATTAAGGGAAAAAATATTGACACATTCAGAGAATAATACAAAGATTCATTTTAATTATTATCCTCATTGTAATATGCCTACTAATTATCAAATGTCCAGGTACTATGACAAAGTAGTCAAAGAGAGAGGTAATGTTTTCATAATACAAAATATTGATGATAAGCTTGGACCCTGAGATTATTTCCAACTCTGTGTCCAGTCCCCAAATTAGTCAGGACTGAGCCCCACTTCAGCAGGAAGTAGCCAGAGCAGTCATCACCCCAGCCCCATTTCCTCAAGAGTTGGGGAAAATTGAAAAAGAAATGGAACTAAAACTGAGGTCCTCTGCCAATTTTATGATTAACCTCTCTATTCGAAACTTTATTCCCTTTCTTTTCTATACCTGTCCCTCCTCAAGATTGAGGAGTATCAAAGAAAAGGAGGATTGAAATAGAGCATGTCCCTCAGTCTGCATTTTGACTGTGAAAAAAACTTTAGCCAAACAATAAGTTTAATCAGAGAAGTGAGAAAATGCAAAAACAAAGGAAAACAGTAAAACGAGACCAAATAATAATAGTTCAGTCAAGGACATTTAGTTTCTCATCAAGGGCTACAGATAATATTCTGAGCCATATCCTTTGAGCTGTCTTATAGATACTGAAACCCCCACCAGGTGGAAGAATTTAGCTACATGATGACCAGACTGTAGCTATGACATAGCTGCCACAATTCTGAGAACTGGCCTCAAATCAATGGGAACAAACCAACCCTGGAACTAAAGACTAACTGTACATAAAACAATCAAGATGACACTGATCAGACCACTGCATGACGAATTTTAAGACGACTGTCAGAGCTGACTGTGCTGTTTCTGCATGTAGCCCCCTCCCTCCGTCTATAAAAGCTCTTGCCCACTGATTGTCAGTGGGGGGAGTCAGCCACTGGACAGGAGTCCGCCCTCCCCTCCAGTTGCTCACCTCCAAAATAAAGCAAACTTTCCTTTCCACCCCTTGCCTCTTTATTGGCTTCAGAGTGACAGGTAACCAGACCCTACTTTCAGTAACAATAGTAACTACCACATCAAGCTGGTTTGGTGATTAAATGAAGCCTTCCCTGAAAAGTGCTGGCACATTGTAAAAGCCTAATAAATTAAAAAAGAATCCACAATTTTGTTTCTCTTCCATACCCTCCCTCATTCAAGTAACACCAATTTCCATGGCTTCTATCTCCTAAATATTTCCTGAATCCATATCCTTAGCCTCTAATCCCATGGCTATTGGCCTATTTCATTATCACTTGCTTGGACCATTGAAATAGTGTCCTAGATGACAGGCATGTCTTTTGTTTACCTCTGATCCATACTGTAAACTGCTACCATAAAAATATTCCAAAACTGACGACATCACTCCTCTGCTCAGAATTCTTCAATATCTCCTCATGGCCCAAGAAGACAAAATTAAAACTCCTAGCATGCCATACAAGCCCCTCCTGAACTGGCCCTTAGCTCCCTCTACAGCCTCACCCTTTCTCCCTCCCCGTCAGCAACACACCAAATGCTCCTACCTATTCTCTCCCAAACAGCCCATGACTGTCCTATGCCACCATTTCATGGTCATTTTATTCCCTCTGCTTAAATCTGGTTTGTGCTGATTGTATCTATCATTTCCCAAATCATATCCCTTATTTGCTTACCACTCTTTTCCAAGTCTCCACGAGGAAGTCTTCTTGGACCACCCTCAGATATACTTACTGTCTCACTTTTATATGTTTTCTTTGCACTGTCTATGTTAAAGTACTTAAAACTACTATAATTTTTGTATTGCAACAATCTCTTTCACCATTAGAAATGGAAACTTTTTGAGATGAAGTACCTGTGTCTCCTTCACCATAATCTCACCAGCATGTAAAATGGAATATGAGTCCTGATGGGTACTCAGTGAAGGAATAAATGAATGAATGAATGAAAGCCTAACATCTAAGAATTAACCTTCCATAACCTAAAATATTTGGCCACACATTTTGGGAATCCCAGGTACATTTCCTACCAGAAGTCCCAATTTACCTCATAGCTTTGAAATACCTCCCTGCTTAGATATTTCAGAGAAATTCTTAACAGCAACCCAATGCTTCAATGATTCTCTAATCAAATAAGCATAAAATCATGTTCTAGAACGTTCCACTCACTCTACCTACTTTGTCCCCATTTTGCTCTGAGAGACAAGATGGAAACAATTAGAGGAATACAATGTCCAGCTGTATTCATTTCATGTTTTAAGAAACAAAGAGTTAAATGTAGGGTGAAAAATGTAAAGACATACTTGTGCTTAGAACTAGCTGAAAGCATTAACTTTGTTAGTCATTATGATTGCCTCTGAAGCTTATGCAACCAGGCATGGATAGAAAAAAATTAGGCAATTGGAATATTTTGTGCATAGGGGGAAATGTTCTTCCTTTTTAAAAAGTAAACAGACAATACACTCAACAGTGTACAGGAAGGTAAAATTAGTAATGCTGGTGTGGGGCAGAGCAACAAAATCTATTTATTTTTCTGCCCCAAACTCTTCAGGGTTACTAAATTATTCTCCCAATTTAAAAAATTTCCTTAGCCCCCACTCACCGCAACTACAGAAAGCCCGCGCGCAGCAATGAAGACCCAACACAGCCAAAAATTAAATAAATAAATAAAATAAATTTAATTAAAAAAAAGAAAAAAAAATTCCTGCTAGGAAAAAAAAGTTCCAGTGACAAAATGTACTTGTACACCATATGAACAAACAGGAAAAAGGAAAAATACTGTACATTAGAAAAACAAACTGTGAGCTCTACCTGACAAGGATATAGAAAGTAAAAATGAGAATATAGTAAGGTGGAAGAAGAAAGAAGATATATGTGACTGGATACAACACCTAGTTTAAAATTAAGAATGAGTATAGTGACCTCTATCATTGGCTGTCTTATATTTCAAAGGCTCTATACCATTACTAGCAATTGGCTCTGAGCCTGATCTGCTGAGTCATACATGATTATTAAGAACACTTTTGCCTTTAGGTGTCCATTGCATCAATTTCCTGAAGAAAATGGGAAACAAAGAAAACAGGAAATTGAGTTTGTTCTCTAATTCTTTTGGAACTTAATTTTCAAAGTCTAAATATTCAAAGCAAATTAAATATGTAACTGCATGCAACTCATGACTGATTTTGGATTTATGTCAAATGTTCTAAAGATAAAACTATATCTGTGATGTGAACCTGATGAATCTTGAATAACTTTAAATGAAAACTACACCTGTTATAGACTGCACACCATAATTTTAATTGTTAGTCATTTATAAAACTGTTAGTTCTTATGTATTACGGCATCTTAATATTTTAAATTAAAAGTGTACTCAGAAACATCTTTTAGAGTTCTCTGATAGTGATCACTCATCCTCTTAAACTCTCTGGTGACAGGTAACTCACTACCCATCCAGCAACTTGCTCCACTGTGTGTATCTCTAACTCTGAAACACACACTTCCTAATGGTGAGTTGACCATGCCCCCCCAGCCCGGAATTCCCACTCCATGATCTTGTTTCCATTTGCTGAAGTTCCACATAATAAAATCAATTATTTCTACATTTTCAATGTCATTAGATTTTTTCAGTTAACGGAAGTATTTTTTAATCCTCTTATGACTGTACTCCAAAACTTGACTCAACTTCCACCCACAATGGAAACAACTCTACTTCTCTCCATCAACACCACCACTCCAGTCAAAGCCACCATCATCTCTCAATGGACAGATGGACCTGCTTTTCCCTCCCACTCTCACTCCCTCCAATCTATCCCCCAGATATCAGCCAGCATGATTTTTGCCAAAGAAGAAATTTTTACTATGTCCCAACCGGTTAATAACCCTTCAGTCCTCTCCTCAGTACTGGAGATAAAAATTCAAAACCTTTAATGTGGCCTGTAGAACCTAGTCATCTGGGACCCTGTCAGCCTCGCAGGACTTTTGCTGGATATTCTCTTCCTTACTTGACATGCTACATCTCCAGTTTCTTTCGATTGGTTCTACAAGCTCTTTCACTCAGGAAGGCTTCACAGATGTGGGTCTATGAAATCCTTTCTCCACTCTGTTTACTATTTGAGAACTAGTGAATGTTCAGGTCTCAGATTACATGTCCTTTCTTCATAGAAACTTTTCCCAAATCCCCAGACTAGACCAAGTCCTTCTGTAATCTTCCATTGCTCCCTTTACCATCCTTCATCAAATTTATCATAATTTTAATATACTTAATTCCATAAATAAAATAATATTGTTAATAATAACAATACGTAACAATACTTAGTGTATTGAGGGCTTACCACATGCTCTGTGCTAAGAGCATCAGAACCATTATCTCATTTAGGATTCAAAGCAAGCCCATGAGTAGTTACTATTGCTACCTATTCATCACAGATAAGAAAAGTGGGGCTTGAGAAGGTTAAGGTGAGTGGAAGAGTGGAGATTAGAATCAACTCAATTCTAGAACCTATTGATGTTCTAACCTTTTCATGTTGAACCTTCCACTAACCTCCTAGCCCCAAGAGGTTAGATACCAATAGCCAGGGAGCTGTCAGAAGGAAATTATGGGCCTGTTTGCCCAACGCCACAAAATCAGGATAATGTCTCTGTACTTTTTCTCTGCACTACCCTCCCTTATTCTTTGTGGCACTCAAATACCTAAGAAAGGGAGAAATTAAATGAGTAAAACTACTACTCTTATCTTGACATCTCTGGAGACTACTTGAATTTTTTAGGCAGTTTCCAGAAAACAAATAGCAGAGAATAGAAACAAATCATGGAGATGTGCAGTTCAATTACATTGATCTGCATTCATTAGCAACGAATCCAGTATACGCAAAATTCAGAATGACACAGTGAAGATTTAGCATGACCTCCGCACAACGATGGAATGTAAATCTGTGAAACATTCCATATTTTAGAGGCAGTAAGAAGACAGGCAAAAAGTGAGGACTATAGTTAAGTGCAGGATCATATGATAGTTCTATTTTTAGTTTTTAAGGAACCTCATTACTGTTCTCCGTAGTGGCCGTACAATTTACATTTTCACCAACAGCATAGGAGGGTTCCACTTTCTCCAGACCCTCTCCAGCATTTATTATTTGTAGACTTTTTGATGATGGTTATTCTGACAAGTGTGAGGTGACACCTCATTGTAGTTTTGATTTTCATTTTTCTAATAATTAGCAATGTTGAGCATCTCTTCATGTGCCTTTTGGCCATATATGTCTTGTTTGGGGAAATGCCTATTTGGATCTTCTGCCCATTTCTTTGATTGGGCTGTTTGTTTTTTTAAATATTGAGCTGCATGAGATTTGTATATTTAGGAAATTAATCCCTTGTAGGTCACACCATCTGCAAATATTTTCTCCCGTTCTATATATATATATATATATGTGCAGGCTCAGCGGCCATGGCTCACGGGCGCAGCCGGTCCGCGGCATGTGGGATCCTCCCAGACCGGGGCATGAACCCGCGTCCCCTGCATCGGCAGACGGACTCTCAACCACTGCAACACCAGGGAAGCCCCTCCTGCATGCTCTTAATGAAAAGTTACACACATTATAAAAGTATAAAAACATAGAGAGGAATGGTATACACCAACCTCAGGATAGTGGTTACCTCTGGGGAGGAAGGGAAAATAGAATGATGAGCGGCCTTCAGTTGAATCATAACATTATTTATTTTAAAATTTTTTCTTAAGTAAACATAATAAAGCTGTTATTGTACTGAAACCAGTGTGCATAAACAGATGTTCGTTAACTTATGAAGTATTTCACAATAAAAAAGAATTTAAAATATTGAAATAAGGGTTAGCGATAGGTGGTAGAATTATATTTGATTATAATTCTTTGATATATTTATATATTTTTCAAATCCTTCCAACCATCATGATTTTATTTTATAATGATAGACAATACATGAGTTTTTCAAAAGGCTATAATGACCAATAAATTTACTTAAACAAAGAGCTTTAAAAAATGAACCAGTATTAAAAATCTCATTTTGGTGTTTTTAATAGTACAGGGCTGAGAAATGCTTGTTTTGAATGCAAGCCAATATTTAAAGGTGAAATTTACATATATCCAAATTTTAAGTGCTAGTCAGGAACTGAAATGCAAATAATTACAGCTATAATAGTTATTCCTGTCAATTTAGTTCCTTCTGAAGACATGACCTTAAATAAACCAGGATTATCTGAATGAGTTTATTCAGGCTATTACTGTACATTATTCTGTACAGAGCTATAGGTAATGACTGACTGTTTTTTAGAGCTGAAACATCTAATTCAATAGTTTTCAAAGATTTTCCAGAACTCTCTTTATATTAAATAATGGGCAAAATGTATGGAAGAGATCAAAACAAAGGTACTTTGTCTAAAGTAGGAGGCTGAGCCCTGAGTTCTTGCTTGCCCCAACAGATTATGCCCTCTCTCCCACCTTTAATCCCTTTCTCCATCAATGGCTCCTTCCGCTCTGAACAAAAACATGCTCAAGTCTCCTGATTTCTAGCCATCAGCCTCACTCTCACATTCCTTCACAGCAGAGTTTTCTCTACTAACTGTTGCCATAGTTCTACCTGCCATTGCCTGTCACCTCCCCTCCCCGCTGAAGTCTTGCCTCAGCCCTTACCACTTCCCCAAAACCACTCTTGATAATCATTGCCTATCTGCATATCCAAGGGATATTCTTCAGTCCTTTCCACTGAGTCATGTAATCATTCTATGAAGATGAAAATTCTCAATAAACCTTTCTACAGTGCAGGATGCTGTTGACCTAAAAAAAGCACTGTTACTTGTCAGAAACGTTTTCATGTCTTGTCTGACACTATTTTCTCTTGGCTTTTCTTCTTTTACCTCCTGTTTGCCTACTCTTTTTCAAGCCTCCCCAAGGCTTCCTCTCTCTGTGTCTGCCCCTTAAATGCTGCGGCCCCTCAAGGTACCATTCAGCACTTGTCTGTTTCACAGCCAGCCCCACCTAGATACTGATGACTCTATGTTTCCTCACCAGCCAGAAACTCTCTGCTGAGGCTCCTTAAACATATATGGGTTGCTTATTGGACATGACAGTCTTACTGCTTTAAAGCAACTCAAACTCAACATACTCAAAACTAAATTAATCACCCCCACTTCTTTGCAAATTCTTAGCTATGTCTTCCTTAATTACATAAATGCTGTTGTGGGTTAAATTGTGTCCCCCAAAAGATATGTTGAGGTCCTAACTCCTGGTGTTACCAAGGAAGGGCTTGCTGCCTGAAATGCATAGAAGCCAACATCATGGCACTGGATTTTGAGAAAAGAAAAAGGTTTATTTGCAGGTTGACCAGCAATGAGACAGGAGGCAAAGCTCTCAAATCTGTCTCTTGGATTTGGGGTTTGGTCAAACTTTTATGAGTTAGGGGTTGATATGCAGAAAAACTGGTGGGGCAGGTTTTGATTGGAGGGCTTTGGAACTTGGCCATTTATGGTAAGGTATGGGAAAAGAGGCTTTTCTTCCTGGAGAATGGACCCTTCACCTCTGAAAGTGAATCGTTAACTAGAAAGCTTAACTGGTGAACAAGTATCTGTAATGTTAGATAATAGCGTTTTTATTCTTAAAAGAAAGAGATATATAAAAAATGAAAATACTTCAAGCAAGAAAACAAACTACTCTTATCAAGTATATCCATCCATTGTACCACCAATTAATCTTATCCTCAAACATAGAATTCTAAAATTATGGGATGTTTCCTCTCCTATGTTACGTATACAATTTATATGGGAACGATACAGGAGTTAGGAGAACGACCCTCTACAAAATTGAAAATCCTTGCATAACTTATAATCGGTCCTCCATATACTTGATTCCTTCATATACGAGGTTTCACATCTGGAGGTTCAACCAACTTTGGATGGTGTAGTAATGTAATATTTTCTATTAAAAAAAAATCCCCACATGTAAAATAGATAGCTAGTGGGAAGCAGCCGCATAGCACAGGGAGATCAGCTCGGTGCTTTGTGACCGCCTAGAGGGGTGGGATAGGGAGGGTGGGAGGGAGACGCAAGAGGGAGGGGATGTGGGGATATATGTATACGTATAGCTGATTCACTTGGTTATACAGTAGAAGCTAACGCACCACTGTAAAGCAATTATACTCCAATAAAGATGTTAAAAAAAAATCCCCACATTTAAGTGAGCCCATTCAGTTCAAACCCATGTTGTTTAAGGGTCAACTGTGTATAAAATGTCACCATGGATTTAAAATTTTTCCTTCAAAGTTTATATACTACCTCTCCCTTTTTTTAAATATTATTTTTAGAGCATTTTTAGGTTTAAAACAAAATTGAGAGGAAGTTATGGGGATTTTTCCATATACCCCCTACCCCCACATCCCATCTCTCTTTTGTTCTCATTAACAGTAGGCTCAAATCAGCCCACACCTGGATTATCACAAAGGCCTTACTCCCTTAACTGCTTTCATTTGTTCGTTTACTCAACAATTATTTACTGAGCACCTACTATATGCCAAGTCCTCTCTTTCAGAGTTTTGCTACAAAAGAACAGAGAAAACTCGGTCATTAGCTGGAAGAGAAAAAGAAAAATACAAATTTTGTGCTTGTTTTTTAAGAAGGAAAACATGACAGTATGCTTGTCAATTGGTAGGAATGAGTCAGTGGAGGCAGAGAAATTAACGATGCAGAATTGAGAGGGCTGGCCTGGGGGAAATGGAGACACAGGGGGAGGCTTGGGTTCCACTAGGAGTGCAGGGGTGCTGGCCATTCAGAGACATGGGTGCACGTAGACATGGCAGCAGAGCTTATGGGAATTCTCTTCCGATAGCTCCTAGTTTCTCAGTGAAGTAGGGAGCCGTGTCACTAGTGTAAAGGTTAAAATTGAAACGCCTCCCTTTTGCTGTTAATCCAAATCTTACACAGTCAAACACCCCTCCACACAAGGCTTCAGCACAGATTGATTTCCTACTTCACTAATCTCTTAAAGCCCCTTCAACTACCCTTGTCCTTCACTAGACTTGCTCTGCTGTTCCCCATTGATGCAGCCGCAGAGGGGGTTGTGATAAATATTGGATTCTCTCAAAACACAGATTATTTGTCATTAATTCATTACTACAAAACTTGAAAATATATATCACTAGGTAGGTGATACTCATAATTAAGGAAACACAACTTTACTCATATGGCAAGAGTACAAAAAGAGGATAATTAAAATCTTTTGTTAATTGTATATGAATAGATTAGGAGGAGAGACCCTGTTAACTGGAAGTGTTGTAGGGATGGCTACTTTTCCAGCGGCTAAGAATTTGGTCAAAAACTACTTAGACAAAAATCATTCAAGTTAACACTGACCTAGTTTAAACTCTGACACTGATACATATAAATGTATAGAAACTTCTATCTAGTTATTTTTATTTCAATGGTCAAGTAAAAATTCTGGTGAAAATAAAAATTTCTTTAAGAAAATGAGAAATTGATCACCAATTAATATTTGCTGTCTTTGAATTTTCCACATATTCATAATTACTTTGCCACAAAAATTTTTGCCTTTTTATTTATAATTTATTTTTAGCCAATTATACATATCCTGTGTTATATGAATTAGAGAGAAGCTGGAAATCATTTGAATACCTTAAAAAAGGAGACTGGTTGAATAAATTATGATTTATTCAGATAATAAAATACACATATTTTAAAATAGTTTAATTACAGTTTAATACAGATATTAAAACTAAAGGTACAGGAAAGCATTCATTAATATCAGTGTGTGTGTGTTATTTGCATAGGAAAAGATTTGAAATTAGGACACCAAGTTGTTTCTGTAAGTTTTATCCCCACTCTGGGTTAGTAGGATTATGAGTTCTCTTACCTGAATTTTTTTTCTTGTTTTTGGCAATGAGAATTATAAAAGATAATAAACAGAAACCTCA